ATACACATAATGGTAAACTTACCTCAATGTTCAATATACACAATGATAAAATTACCTCAATGTTCCATATACACAATGATAAACTTATACTCAATGTTCCATATACACATAATGGAAAACTTACCTCAATGTTCAATATACACAATGATAAACTTAACTCGTTGTTCCACATACACAATGATAAACTTACCTTAATGTTCCATATACACAATGGAAAACTTACCTCAATGTTCAATATACACAATGGTAAACTTACCTCAATGTTCCCTATACACAATGATAAATTTAACTCAATGCTCCACATACACAATGATAAATTTAACTCAATGCTCCACATACACAATGGTAAATTTAACTCAATGTTCCATATACACAATGGCAAATTTAACTCAATGCTCCATATACACAATGATAAATTTAATTCAATGCTCCATATACACAATGGTAAATTTAACTCAATGTTCCATATACGCAATGATAAATTTAACTCAATGTTCAATATATACAATGATAAAATTACCTCAATGTTCCATATACACAATGGTGAATTTAACTCAATGTTCCATATACACAATGATAAATTTAACTCAATGTTCCATATACACAATGATAAATTTAATTCAATGCTCCATATACACAATGGCAAACTTACCTCAATACGATTGACCTTATCATTTCTTGAAATCTTCTTACCAAATGTTTCTACTTCAACTTTGAAAGATTTATCAGGATGACAGAATGGCTCCTTGAAATATAAACTAATAAATTATTTTCTCAAAATAGAGAAAAAAGTTAAACATAAACATAAGCAAAGTTTAATACAGTATCAGTACCAGGGAAACGGTATCAATATGTATATCATATCTATATATATATATATTAGGGGAAAATTATTTAATATATCAATATATATATATGTGTGTGTGTGTGTGTGTGTGTATGGGTGTAGTATCAGTATGACAAGAAAAATATTTAAAACACCAATATGTATATCATACATATGTAGAGGACATAACATGCTAATATAGTATCAGTACCAAAGAAAATATTTGATATATCTATATCATATATATGTAGAGGACATAATATGCTAATATAGTATCAGTACAAGGGAAAAAAATATTTAATGCCCCAATATGTATATCATATCTATATATATATATATGTGTGTGTGTGTGTGTGTGTGTGTATAGTATCAGTACCAGGGGAAATATATTCAATGCACCAATATGTATATCATATCTATAAATATGTGTGTAGTATCAGTACCACGGAACAAATACTTCAAATATCAATATCATATATATGGGTAGTATTAGTATTAGGGAAAAATTATTTAATATACCAATATCTATATCATATATATGGGTAATATTAATATTAGGGAAAAATTATTTAATATACCAATATCTATATCATATATATATATATATATATATATATGTGGGTGTAGTATCAGTATGCGGGAAAAAATATTTAATAATCAATATCATATATATGTAGAGGACATAACATGCAAATATATCAGTATCAGGGAAAACATATTTAATATACAAATATCTATATTATATATATATGTAGAGGACATAACATGCAAATATAGTATCAGTATCAGGGAAAACATATTTAATATACAAATATCTATATTATATATATATATATGTAGAGGACATAATGTGCTAATATCTAATTTGTGCACATATTAAAAGGCCCTTCTATATCACTGTCAGGTTTATACATTTAAATAAAACTTAATGTAACATTGTGTGGTCTACACAGCGAAACACAACTAAATATATCAATGTGTGGTCTATACATGTAAACAAAACTTAATGTATCATTGTGTGGTCTACACAGCGAAACACAACTAAATATATCAATGTGTGGTCTATACATGTAAATAAAGCTTAATGTACCATTGTGAGGTCTACACACCTAAACACAACTAAATATACCAATGTGTGGTCTATATATGTAAACAAAATGTAATGTACCAATGTGTGGTCTATACATGCAAAACACAAACTTAACACAAACAAAACTTAACACATCACTGTCTGGTCTATACATGTAAATAAAACTTAATATGCCAATGTCTGGTCTACACATGTAAATAAAACTTAATATGCCAATGTCTGGTCTACACACCTAAATGCAACTAAATATACCAATGTCTGGTCTATACGTGTTAACAGTACTTTATTTACAATGTCTGGTCTATATGTTTAAACAGTACTTTATTTACCAAGTTTTGGTCTATACATGTAAACACTACTATATTTACCAATGTCTGGTCTATACTTGTAAACAGTATTATATTTACCAATGTCTGGTCTATACCTGTAAACAGTATTATATTTACCAATGTCTGGTCTATACCTGTAAACAGTATTATATTTACCAATGTCTGGTCTATACCTGTAAACAGTATTATATTTACCAATGTCTGATCTATACGTGTAAACAATATTATACTTACCAATGTCTGATCTATACGTGTACACAGTACTATATTTACCAATGTCTAATCTATACGTGTACACAGTACTATATTTACCAATGTCTGATCTATACGTGTACACAGTACTATATTTACCAATGTCTGATCTATATGTGTACACAGTACTATATTTACCAATGTCTGGTCTATATGTGTTAAACAGTATTATATTTACCAATGTCTGATCTATACGTGTAAACAGTACTATATTTACCAATGTCTGGTCTATACCTGTAAACAAGTATTATATTTACCAATGTCTGGTCTATACCTGTAAACAGTACTATATTTACCAATGTCTGGTCTATACCTGTAAACAGTATTATATTTACCAATGTCTGATCTATACGTGTAAACAGTACTATATTTACCAATGTCTGGTCTATACCTGTAAACAGTATTATATTTACCAATGTCTGATCTATATGTGTTAAACAGTACTATATTTACCAATGTCTGATCTATACATGTAAACAGTACTATATTTACCAATGTCTGGTCTATACCTGTAAACACTACTTTATTTACCAATGTCTGATCTATACCTGTAAACAGTATTATATTTACCAATGTCTGGTCTATACACGTATGCATAACTTCAACTACAAATTCCTAATCTATTCAAAAATTCATAAATACATGTATACCTTTACATGTTCTACAAGGTAAATCAACCATTACTGTTGAGACTATGTTCTACCATGTCATCCAAGCACCTCTAGTATAAGTATATGATGCATGCTATACACCTGGAAAAAAGTTAAGCACCCCCGTGTTTTTTTCAAGTGATTCAGATTCGACGTTCTTGTGACTGATTATAAATTACCATTCAATCTAAACGTGTTTATCAAATGAAATTATGCATTATTG